GCAATTCTCCTGCCTCAGCCTCCTGAGTAGCTGGGATTACAGGCACACACCACCATGCCCAGTTAATTTTTTGTATTTTTAGTAGAGACGGGGTTTCACCATGTTGACCAGGATGGTCTCGATCTCTTGACCTCGTGAACCTCCCGCCTCGGCCTCCCAAAGTGCTGGGATTACAGGCTTGAGCCACCGCGCCCGGCCTAAAAAAAAATTTTTAAGGATTTCCTATATCATGTTGCCTCCGTGGCCATATACTGAGATGCCCTAATATTTCAATGACTTTCAGCATTCATTCAGTAAGATGGATATGTATAGAAATAGTTTATTTAGTGTCTCCAAAATTTTATTTATGTGTGTCCAAAATTGTATGTGCAATTTTGTATTCCCACTTTTTCCCCTCTTTTGTAGCATTTTCACTATGTAGACTTCAAAACTGTGATTTTACTCATTATATAGTACTGTCTCATTCACCTGGTGAATATTAGTTCCTATTTTGGCTATTATAAATTATCCTAATAAACGTCCTTGCACGTAAATTTCTGAACATATCGTTGCTCATTTCCTAGCATAAAATTATAGAAATATACAGAAAGAGTAGAATTTTTTAAAATTATGAAAATAAAAATTATTGGGTCAGAATACATATAAATTTATTTATATATAATATATATATTTATATATATATATAATTTATAAAAATATATATTATATATAAATATATATATTTTTTTCCTAGAGACAGGGTCTCACTCTGTTGTCCAGGCTGGAGTGCAGTGGCATAACCATGTCTCACTGCAGTCTCCAGTTCCTGGGCTAAAATGATACTCCTACCTCAGCCTCCCAAGTAGCTGGGACTACAGGTAGGCATTTCCACACCTGGCTAATTTTTTTTTTAAATTTTTTGTAGAGAAAGTCTTGCTATATTGCCCAGGCTGTCTTGAACTCCTGGCCTCAAGCGATCCTCCTGCCTTGGCCTTCCAAAGTGCAAGGATTAGAGGCAGGAGCCACTATAACTCCTAGCCTAATTTTTTCATTTTTTTTCCTAATTTTTTTCTTTTTAATTTTTTTTTGAGACAAAGTTTCACTCTTGAGCCCAGGTTGGAATGCAATGACACAAACTTGTCTCACTGCAACCTCTGTCTCCCGGGTTCAAGTGATTCTCCTGTCTCAGCCTCCCAAAAAACTGGGATTACAGGGATGTGCCACCATGCCCAGCTAATTTTTATAGTTTTAGTAGAAACGGGGTTTGGCCATGTTGGTCAGGCTAGTCGCAAACTCCTGACCTCAGGTGATCCACCTGCCTCAGCCTCCCAAAGTGCTGTGGGATTACAGGCGTGAGCCACCATGCCCGGCCTTTATTTTTTAATTTTTAAATATCTTAATAATTGTATAATTATAATAACAATAATTGTAATTATGGTACAATTATTACTATAATAATACAATTATTACTATAATTATACAATAATAATTACTTATATAATTCACTAAATTTGGCCAGGTGCAGTGGCTACTTGGGAGACTGAGGTCAGAGGATTTCTTGAGTCTGGGAGTTCAAGACTACTGTGGGTTATGATCACCTCTCTGCACACCAGCCTGGGCAAGAGACAGAATGAGCGCCTATCTGTAAAAATATTTGTAACTATATATATATGTACATATGCAAATATATAAAAATATATAAAATATGTGTGTGTCTGTAAATATATATATATATATGTTTTTGTTTTTGTTTTTTGAGACGGAGTCTTGCTCTGTTGCCCAGGCTGGAGTGCAGTGGTGCAGTCTTGGCTCACTGCAACCTCTGCCTCCTGGATTCAAGGAATTCTTCTGCCTCAGCCTCCTAAGTAGCTGGGATTACAGGTGCATGCCACCATGCCTGACTAACTTTTATATTTTTAGTACAGACAGGATTTCACCATGTTGGTCAGGCTGGTCTCAAACTCCTGACCTCATGATTCACCCACCTTGGCCTCCCAAAATGCTGGGATTACAGGCATGAGCCATCACGCCCGGCCTAAATTATATTTTAAAAAATATAGGGGTCACCACAAACGCAGGGAGAGAAACAAGGGAGCAAGACTGAAAATTTGAGCAACGGAAGGCAGGTAAAGAATGGGGGCGGAGTGTTAAACAGAAAACATAAAATTAGAGAGTAGAAATGTCCAAATATAGCAGTAATTACAAATAAAAATGGACCAAATATATC